CAATCTCTTCGAATTTCTTCTTCCCCGAAGAAAACCCTAGACGATGTGTCGCTCAGTCCTCTCGATGAATGCCTAATAATGGACTCCCGGTGGAGCCGAGTCTGGGTGATGCCTTGACTGGATGGCCTGGAGAGATCTGTCTACTCTAAGCCACTATTAGAGTGAGAATTAAGAATTTGACGACGATGCACCTACTTTTATACAGAGGGCTGAGGCATAAGAGCGCTCTCTGATCCTCCCTTCAGTCTCATTGGAAGAAGGCGAAATTGGCCCGAAAAATGTCGCCCCCATTCGACTATTTCTAGCATCTTGAGGGATTGTGTGATGTCAATGGTTGGTTGAGACTTGTTTCAATAAACAAACAAGTATCACAAGCAATCGTGTTGTGAGTTAACCAACTGCAGGATTCGACTTGTTCATGAAATATAATGTCAGAAGGGGGATGACGATAAAAACATTTAGATATAGTATAATGTTTTCAAAACAATGACGTCACTCTCTCTTCACCTTTGGCAACAAGGATTGACAAAAAACATGCTGGCTCGAACCACTCTTAATAAAAAATAGAAAAAGAAAACCAAAAGAATGAGAAAAACATCCTCGTAATTCAAAAACAAAGAACACCGTGAACAGATTAAGATATTACAAAGAAAGTTGGACCTATTTTGTCTGTAGTATCAGTGAGGTTATTTACCTTTCAATAATAGAAGCAGTCGTAATTAATAAGTTTTTACACATGTACATCCACATCACTACACACGCGCTTGAAAGTACGTTAGACTTATATGTTAGGTCGCGATACTTTTTGTAATTATCGAAGTGTCGATAACGAGAGTATAGACTCTGACAAAACTTCCGGATCAGAATCTCTAATAGACGTAACTGACCACATACACGAAAATCAACGACAATCAAATATTTACTTACGACCCTCAAAGATAGATACTTTTAATAAGTTCAGGAAGAAAATACGCTCAAGCGAAGATATCACTGAACTAGATAAGGAAACACAGCTATGGAAAGAACTTTTCGCACAGCGTGAAATAAATGAACAACAGCCGGCGCAAATTGACAATTTATCGAAACAACTCAATGAGCTTATGAAAAATATACAGAAGGATGAGGTAATAACGCTGGCAGCGCAAAGACGGGTGGAAAACTTAGCGATTGCCCCACCTTTGCCTCCAAATAATATTTCTATAGGACGAGATACGTCCGCGCGACTACATGTTTACACAGCAACGCTCCGACGGGAAGACCATCAATTTATTCGTGAATTGTTGACTGAGATAAGGGAGTACGACGGATCGACCTACGTATCTGCATTTACGGGTCAAATTACAAGAACAAGTAGACAATTAGACTCTGATCCAGCAATTTTTGCGCTAATTAGAAAAGTTTGTACATCAAAATTAACAGGAAGAGCACAGCAAGTAGTAAAAAGACACCAGGTAACCACTGCTGTGTAACTAAAAGAATGCTTAGAAACACACTTTGGCAAGTTAGAACTTGAATACGATCAACTGTTTGAAATCAGAAATGCTATGAGGCAACAAAAAATGATGCGGAGATAGCGAAGTTATTAGCTAATTTAAATAGTGTTTTTGGAATGATGAAAAAGGGCGATCATCATTGTTGATCGTGAATTCTGAGATGATGTCAAATTATTAGAGGATAAAGGGTTGATTGTCAAGATGCCAACTTTAAAATAAACTATAAATCATTATTTTTATTTATCTTTAACTATTTTTTTTATAGTCAATAGGAGCCTATACTTTTTCACAAGAATACCGCAATTTGCAAAATTCATGATCTAATGATATAGTTTATCTTTATCTTCCTTACCTAGAACAGGCTTTGGGCCTTTAAGTTAATTGAAAATTTTGCACGAACAATATCAATTACTGTAGTTTTGGGTACATATTAAACAGTCTCGAAGCAGTACGCTTAAACGTTCCAGATTTAACATCTAGTTTTTTAATATCGATATCAAAATATTTGTTATCTTTCACATAAACTATTATTTTCAGACATACTACACGCGTTTACTGATATCAAAGTTAAGTACATATCGGGTCCAGTACAACCATGTGTACAATAACGTAAATACATTGCTTGAATGTACAACTGGTCTCTTTATAGAACATTTGAATCTGTTGAAAGTTTCCAGTTACCGACCAACCAGTCAGTAACTGGTTTTTACGAATGCGATGTTCTACTTACCGATTATGCGAAAAATAAATTTTAATTTCATAAAAATAAATATCTAATTGCATAAACATAAATGTAGAACTTTCGTTTGCTTGATTTAGTAACTAACAAATTATAATAAAGAAATACACATCTTTTGCGACAGCGGTTATTAAGCAAAATTATAGGAAACAGCGTTAATTTACGATCACTCCGAAATCGTCAGGTAACATCATTAAATTAAAGAAATTCAATATTTTCTCCTAATATTGGACTAGGTTTAGTGCACTATTGAGGCCTAACAGATTATGATTTAATAATTATGTTTATAATTGTTTACAGAGATACCTATTTGAATAAAGTTAAAATAAAAGTAGTTAGATATTAGGTCATGGTTGGATACTGAGATCACTTACACTATAAGTAGGATTGTATTGTATACAACTGTTTTTCTAAATAATCATGACATTGAAAGTGGAACTTAATAAATAATCCCAAAAACAATATATAAGAAATGGAAAATTAAATTTTCTTCATAAAATAGAAATGAAATCTATATTTGTTATATACATGAAAAAGAGAAATAAAACAATAAATGTAATGACATTTATAAATTTCATTGTTTTACATTTTTTTAATTACTTTCAATTAAAAGAAATTGTAATGAGGTTTTACATAAGTCATCATTTTTTATAAGTTTTTTAGCACTTAATATCTCTTTTTTTCTCAGCCCTAAACGTTCCCTTTCAATGCTTGCCCCCCTAGTTGTTGAATTGCTTGTTTTTTCCTCTATTTATAGGACAAATATTTCACCACTGGCAGCAAAGGATGCCACTGTTAACTTTCACTTAATTCTATAATAGGGCTTTCTTAATCTCTCAACAAATCTCCCTGTATGTTTGGCTTGAAAAATTTTAAAAGTAAAAGGAAATATCTCTTTTTAAAAATTTGTTAATAATGTAAAATGTTTTCTAATAGAAAATTATCATATTTTCATAATTTCCATTGATTATTAAAAAAAACTCAAGCTACCTAACCTTGCAAAATATAAAAACCTAATTGTGAATGCCTTCATTGTCATTTAACTTTCAATTCAAACGTTTCTTACATAGTACCTATTTGTTTTCTAAACTGAAAGCCAATAGCTTGAATGACATTAATAAGTTTGAAGCAATAAACAAATTTTTACTAAACATATACTGTAGATACATTTGGAAGACTGAAAATAAATAAACTAGAATAAGAATTTTGTGTAATTAAATCTTAATTACCTAAAACAAAATATATGTAAATATGTTTTTTCAACTACAATTCATGGTTTATATACAAATTTATCTGAATAGTATTAAAATAAATTTTTATAATATAGCATGCTATAGCCAGACATATGCTGACAAGATTTTGGTAAAGATGTATCAACAAAGTATACTATATTAATGGCTTGCTTGATATATTAATGAAAACTATTTTGTATAAGCAAGTCATAAAATGTTAATAATTATCTTGTAACTTCAATTTATACTTAACTATTAGATTAGTAGTTTAAGTCTTAGTTTGTATCTCAGATCAACAAACAGGAAATTAACTTCCTCTCCTGGATCGTAATATTATATTGTAATGTACTTTTATATTATTACCAATTTCGTAATATATTTTGTACTCTAGTTAACAAATAAATAAATAAATATAATACTAGAAAAATATATAGCTGAGAGATAATATCTGATATTACATTTGAATTTGAAAAAAACATCCATCAAAACCAAATCATACATCTTAACTGGAATAATGTATGATTTCACTCAGCTGATTGAATTTTTTAAATATATCTGAGAAATTTCATCATCTTTCAAATATACATTCTCAATTTTACCTAATTGAATGTAAGAATACATATGCAATATATAATAAATTTAAAAAAAATACTTGCATCTTAGGCTAGTCAAGAAAAATAGATTTATACTTTTATAGATATAAAATATCTTATCATATATATAGTTTAATTAATTTTTGAAAAAATTTGTTATAATTATTTCAAAAATATTATTTATTTATATGAATTTAATGATATTTATAAAATAAGAAGTGGAAAATATATATAAATTATTAACTATCTACTGATTAATCTAGTATCAACAACCATGTTTATAATAATAATATCTATCATGAGAAAATTTTTTTTCATATAAAGTATTTTTTAATATATACATATATGTATATACGCACACATACACTTACATATAAGAATGAAAATATTGAATTACTCAATAAATTATATTAGTGACAGACACCACACAATAAGAGTCAATAACTACTGAAATACAAAATATATAATTAATTAAAAACTCTCCAAGTTTAATCATACAAATTAACTTTCCATCAGTTGCAACATATCGAATAATTATATTTATAAAATTTCATTGTGGACATATACATACATATACTGTATAAATATACAAAGGAAACTTAATAATTGAAGGAAATTATTAATTGTTCAATAAATGATTCAATAAGTGATTCTTGATTAAAAAACAAGATTAATCTAAATTTGTCTTAACAATAAATCTTTTTAGAAAGTAAAATTTCATTAAAAAAATTATAATTTCAAAATAATAAATAATTATCAAATTACAAATATTAGTATTTTGTAGCTGTGCATTTAATTCAGTAACTTTTCAAATACTTCATTCAAAAGGGGAAAAGAAATATTACAAATCTACTATAATTCCAAAGAATATGATTCATTTTAAAATATTACTACATTATTAATTCTTAATGAAATCAAAGGCAATTTTAGCAACTTACAATACCTGAAAGTCTAAATGGTTCAAAGTACATAATATTCAACTAGATACATTATTCTTTAATTATTATAATCTTATAAGTTGTTGTGCATTAATAGTACGTTAAATTCTATGCATCAAAAACACTGATTTTAAACTCGTTGACTTATCTATAAATATTCATTAATAGACTTCTATTTTACATTTAAAAAATTTCACTAACAAATGTTTTATTTAAGATACACCAAACTAAATTATCAGGTGCGAAAGTCATAAACACGTTAAATTAATTAGAAACGATAAAATTAAACTCAAATAAATGGTCGTTTGTATGTTCTCAGTTCTCAATTCTTAGACTTATTTTTTGACAGTAGCCTACCGACCGCTAGAGAGTATGTAAAAAGAGTGAAGCCAATTCAGACCGAACAATATAGAGACAATGTAAAAAGTTCCGTTGAGTTGGCAAGTGAAGTAAAAAACATAAAAATACCAGCCTCGAAAATTTTCAATGCTCTTCAAAAAAATCATTAGCAAATATTTTCTCTCCTTGTTCTCCTCTCGTTAAGAATATATTATACTTGTTCCTTCCCCTCTTTAAAAAATTAAATAAAATTAACTTGCTACGCCACTATTTCATTATTTGATATCTGCAAGAAATATAGCTACTAAAGGTTTTCAGGTACTAATCGAATGCTCATAATTTTCTCTTTCGATCGGTATCACTAGTTCTTAATTACCTATAAGTTAAAAACATTAGAAACAAATTTTTAATCCTTTTATTCGTTTTATAGAAGTGAATCCAGTTATTCGTGTTCTAAACTACGTTCATGTGCTTGCTATCTATAACAGTTTGTATGTATATGTAAGAAAATTGATAGCAAAAAATATTGCTGCAAGTTTTCAACAACGTTTCCTGAAAGATTTGAAATATTTCTGCAGTCATTCATTGAAATATTACTAAAATATTTCTATGTCCGCACAATATGAACTGCAAAAACGTTGCACAAAAGGTTGCAACTATATATGTCTGGAACTATATATGAAATATAAAAACACTGCAATAACTTTTTACAATATTTCCGTAGGTTTTATGAGTAGCATCAGTTCTCTTCTTTCTTTTATGTTACAGGGATATATAAACGTTCACGAAATAGTTCATACAATGTTACCAAAACATTTCAAGAAATATTATAGTAACATTATTTACATTGTTTTCGTAGTTTTCATTGCACGGATATATTATTATACATTTATATGTTTGTGTAAAAAAACCATAAAAACATCGTACAAAAAGATTACATAAGTTTTACAACATATATCGGGAAATTTTTGTGAAATCATTTAGTAGTTTTCATAGAATAAACATTTATATATTAATTATATTAGTGTTACATTATTAAATTTATTTATGCTTGTCTGTACAACTACATTAATTTAATTAAAGTGAATATTTACAATCGCAGAAAAATTTCGCTAGCAACGGGAATCCAAGCCCGGACGCAAGGGATAGCTTGCTGATACTTAACCAACTAAGCTAACGTAACACTTAGAATTACCGAGTAACTTTTAATCTTTAGGCTTCAATAAAATTAGTATAGGCAATGAGGATCCTGAGCCACTTACTATGCGAGAATTAATTCCTTCTTTACCGGCAGTCGGCAACGTAATTAAACTCTTGTTACCGACCTTTGGGCTGTCTTATCGGCAGATATACTCGTATATCGACGATCGACCTGCTTGACTAACATCGCTTGTTACAGACTATTGTGTACCGACATGCAGGCCACATGCACCCCACTGGCTGCAGTTACCAATTCTTGTATCGACATGCAGGCCCTATACCCAACCCAACCCATGCCTCATGCCCCATGTCTCATGCCGAAATAAAAAACGTATTGCCTTATGTTGAATAATTATGATTAAATAGAAAGTATAAGGAGTAATCAAAATGAAAGAAAAATATATAGTACTGTGTAAGAAAAAAAGCTTTTTTTATTATCAAATTTTAATTACCTACACAAATTCAATTAAATATCCTCCAAGAAATTTTAATTTTATATCCTACTTTTCCACTTCTTTCTTATATTTCTCTTATAAAGATTCGTTCTGGACGAGAAGTTCTTTGACTATTGCGAATGAAAATATCAAATGATGCATCCAACTCTAGAATAATTTCCATCCCATACTTAGTGCTTACTTTTTTCAATAGGTGATAGGTGTCGAGAATATTTTGTTCTAAATCTTTTTTTTTTGTAGGTAGAAAATTTGGAGTTTTTGGTAACTTTGTTGATAGCGTCCATAGTATTGGATCTATGAACAGATTAAAGAAAGAAAAAACATAAGTTATATGTATTACAAAATTCACATATTAAGTATTTAAGTATTGTAATTATAAAGTCAAAATTTTACATATTTATTTTTTTTAATATTGAATGAATATAATCATGCTTTATACTATAAAGGAGCTAGAAAACTGAACGAATGCTCACTTTATCGATACTACGTATGTAAGGCCCTTTTCCTATCCCTAGTTCATGATGTCATACCCTTCCTCTTCATTTTCTAAATGTAATATATCTATCACATCAATATACATTTCATCATCACTATTCAGTGCTAACGCCACTGAAGTACTTTGTGATGTGTAATATGCTTCATCAACATAACCATCATCGTCGTCGTCAAAAGTGTTATTCTGTGATTACAAGACTTCTTTTTCCTAATCATCACTGTCTGTCGATATATGTAGTAAATGGAAAGAAGGTTTTAGTCACTTTTTCAGTGCCATCACAATCTCATGAGCACAATTTTCTGACAAACCCAACCAATGGTAAAAACAGACAACGGACCTTCGAAATCCTGACTCATATAAAGAAGGATAACCTATTTCCTTCATATCAAAGACGTGATCCACGTATTGGGAGAGCCACTCAACTTTCTGATATCCCTTAATGAAGATCATAACTGAAGCATATTCAGCAGCTAAACAACCTATGTCCTTTATAAATTGTGGACGTCGATCGTACGGAATATTTCCTGCATTCCAATCAATTCCATGAAATGATGAGGTTGGATATTTACCCACGAAACACACGTGTTGTAACCTGAGATGATTGTTTGATTATTATTTTTTTTCACAACGGGTTGGCTCCAAAATTGGTTTAAAAGAATTTTGCTTAACAAAATGGAGAGTGTCAAGAATAACAAAACAATTCCATGAAAGTTTTGCATGAGTCAGGAGTTCTCTGTTTTCGAATGACTGGGAAAATCTTTCCAAGGACAAGGTAGTCAAAAAATAAAATAAGATAATACCAAATAGTCATCGCTAAGATTGATGGTTGCAAGCTCTTTGAGCACTGATTCACCATTCAACTTGAAAGCTTATACGTCAACGATAATTTCCATAGCAAATCTACAATAAAACGGTGGTAAAAAAATTAGTTTTTTTTTATGAAATAAGGAGATAGAGTATGTAATTCTTTTTTTTTTAATGTATAAATTTACTGTAACATTGTGCCATGATTAAAATGCATAATCGATTAGTGTTAATACGTTAATGACATTTATATATTTTCCCCACTCAGTTCACAACCCCTACTATTACTAAAAAAATTGTAAATGTAAAGTATACATCACAAGTAAGCCAATTATATTAGCATGCTGTAAGACAAGTTCATAATTATTCATACACGTTTAATTAGTCTTAATGCCCGAGCCTGCGCGCGCATAATACGAGGGGCGGGGGGTGCAATAAGTCTTTACAAAATCCAAGAGATGGCGCTCGTCACCCTTAAATTATGATATTTTGGCAAGCAATACTACTAACTAAATATCGTACAAAGTTTCAGCTCGATTCATTAAGTCATTTTTTTGTGAGCGTTGGTTGAACAAAAAGTTATTGGTTTATTTGAAAAATGGAAAAAACAGTTTCGAGCGGTGATAAAACATTTTCATTTGAAAGGCCTTACACCAAAAGAAATCACAGTTGAGTTGAACGCCATTCATGGTAAGTCTGCTCCTGTGTTTAAGACTGTTTATAACTGGGTAAATGAATTTAAACGCGGCCGTATAACAACAAAAGATGAACCTCGTTCAGGACACCCCGTAGAAGTGAGTACGTCCAAAATGGTTAACAAAATCCACGATATGGTGTTGAGTGACAGAAGATTAAAATTGCGAGAATTAGTTGAAGCCACAAGGGTATCAAAGGGTACAATAATTTCAATTTTGCATGAACAATTGGGGATGGAAAAAATATCAGCAAAATGGGTACCGCGTTTGCTCACTGTTGAAAACAAACGAACCCGCGTGGTCACCCCTGAGGCTCTTTTGGCACGTATACGTCTTAATCCGGAAGACTTTTAGCATCGACTCGTAACTGTAGACGAATCATGGGTACACCACGATACTCCTGAAACCAAAGAACAGTCCATAAAATAGATTACCGCAGGAGAACCAGCCCCAAAGAACGCAAAGACAGTAAAGTCAGCTGGCAAGATTATGGCCACGGTTTTCTGGGATGCGTATGGAATCATCTATATCGACTACTTGGAAAAGGGCCAGACGATCACTGGACAATATTATGTGTCACTATCAGGTTAGCTGAAAGAAAAAATCAGAGAAAAACGTCCTCACTTGAACAAAACAAAATGTCTCTTTCTTCAAGACAATGCTCGAGTTCACACGTGTCCAGTTTCGATGGCAAAAATTAACGATTTAAAGTTCGAATTAATTGACTATCCACCATATTCGCCTGATTTGGCTCCCAGTAACTTTTTCTTATTTCCTAACCTCAAAAAGTGGCTTGCCGGACAACGATTCACGTCGAATGAAGAAGTCATCGCCGAAACAAATGCCTATTTTGAGGGTTTTCAGAAATCATATTTTTCTGATGGCTTAAAAAAACTGGAAGGCCGTTTAATAAAATGTATCGACCTTCAAGGAGATTATGTTGAAATATAAAAAAAATTACATACATAAAACTTTTTTTTCCTTCTTTTTGTAAAGACTTATTGACCCCCCTCGTACATAGTACTCTAGTTATGCGCGAATTAATCAGCTTACGCTCGTAAGACAGCAACGACGGCTACGTCCCTTTATATACGAGGTGTGATCAAAAAGTAAGGTGAATTTTTATTTTTCTCAAAAAATATTTATTTATTCACAAATTTTTATTTTATCTCCTTCAAAGTAATCCCCCTCGGATATAATGCATTTGTGCCAACGCTTTTTCCAATCCTCAAAGCATTTCAAAAAATCATTTTTTGTGATCTTGTTTAGT